GACAAGTTAGCTACCGTTACACCAGGAAGACATGCTGGAAGGAGAGACTTACATACTTCCCTTTTAAAGGGCGATTGGAGATTAGGGTATCCAATCGTTAGATCCAGGTAGTGACGAAATATTATCCACTCAAGCTTAGTTCAGTCTACACTATAGAGTCATTAGGCTTTTTGAAACAGCAGACATGAAACATATAATTAACGAAATTATGTAACGAAATTATATAATGAAGAATCTGCATGAATATGTGTAAGTTTCTTTCGCGGAAAAAGGACTATACCTAGGGCCATCAAACTTTAAATAACGTTGTCCTCTGCCCGAATATGTTGCACTTAGAAGCTCGAATTTTGAATTTTATATTTTGCTCTCGCCGGACTCGCCGCTCTCAAACTCAAAAAATGCTCTCGACGGACTCGCCGCTCTCAAACTCAAAAAATGCTCTCGCCGGAACTCAAACTAGGACCTTTCGAATACGTGCCGAGTGTGCTACCGTTGAACCATGAAGGCATGCTGGAAGAAAGAGGAAACTACTTTAAGCTGCGTTCAGACGGCGTCGTAAAGGGCATAAAGACGTAGTCATGAGGGCATAAAATGCGGAAATTCCGTTCGCACTTGCGAGAACGGGGTATAAGCTGTGGCCAATAGGAGAAGCTAAATTTGCGCATGTGTGGATGTATCTACAACTTTCCCGCGCTGTTCTCCTGCTCGATTGACTTTCCGCGTTCGCTCCGCTTGTTTTGTGACAGTGAAATCTTCTGTAGAACGCCGCTTCGTTTTAGCTTTGCTCTGATTGGTCGACGCTTATCCCAAACTCGGCGTAAAGTTGAAAACTTTGAACCCTATGCCACGAGCACTAAACCAGATTTTGTGACGTAGCACAGACTGGTTGCCTTGGCAACGGAGCTCGGCATTAACCACTTATGCCCTTTATGCCCCCGTCTGAACGAAGCTTTAGTTACCTGAAATATAGTGGTAATTAGCTTCGTCTGATGGGGATATTATTTTCAGAACAAGTAAAATCCCAAATTGTTATTATACCAGGTAAATATTTAAAGGAAATAACAACGAGATTTCAACGTTTCATGTTCTTCTTATGCCTTTCTTATTCCATTGAAAAATTGTAGTGGAAAATATAAATGTCAATTATTAAATTGTTACAGCAATGACATAAATAAGGAAATCTTTCTCATCAAAGAAAGATAATATTTCAGAGTTTTATTCTTGCTACTACTTGGTAAATAAAATTTGTTAGTTATGACAGAATTCTTTATCGTATGTAGCGTAAAATAACATTATAGTGCTTTATGTATCATTTACATTAGCACCATTGATAAAAATTCATATTACAGCGGAAATGGCGCGTATAAAAAGGCTTACATTCCATTCATTAAAATATCTCTCTAAAAATCTTTCATTAAAAATTGTTATATGTAGATCCAAGGTTATATTTTTAACCATATAGGATTAAAAGTATTATGACAGAGGAGAAGTCATTGTTTACTGCTTAATACATTTAATTTAAATATATAATTGAAAATTTATGTATATTTGCGGCATACAATTCTGTTTGTTCATTTTGGAGTTTACGATTAAGGTATTCATAATATACAGTAAAAGAAATACAAGGTTATAAGATTTGAATTTAGAATTTAAAACCATCTAGTCAATGTAGTTTTCAAATATATATGATTTCACTGACCAAAATGCATCTCCTTTTTTACTAAAAGCAGCACTTGACATGAACTACTTTCCCGAAAATTAATCAATTGCTAGTTCAGAAAAAAAACTGTAGCTTTGATAAATGATTACCTTCAGTATTAACAGCACTTTTCCAATACTTTGATAAGTGATTCCTACAGTGTTGTACACTAAGTTCAACACGTAACCATTCCAAAAAGAAAGCTCTGTCTTTATTTTTAGGTAATGAAGATTGATCTTATGGTAGATAAACTGTTGCTATACTGGAGAAAAAAGTGCTGTTTCGTTTCCTTTCCCAAAGGTGTGTAGTAGTTTGTACATTGTTGTTAAGCCCAGTAAAACACTGAAAATAAGCTTACTTTCAACTTACTTCAACAAGAATGAAGGTTATTTTTAGCCCAAAAAGGCGTTAAACCGAATGGGATATTAGTCTCAAAACGAGATACTATAAACCGCACTATTACTTTTCAAATTGTTGCCGGCCCTGCAGTAATTTTAGCGGAATTATGTAATGAAAAATCTGCATGAATATACAGGGTGATTCCAAATTGTTTTTACGAATTAACAGGGGTGATAGTACTCATCCAGATGAACAATAATTACCATAGAACATAGGATCGCATTCCATTCCGAGAAGCAGAAAAGGGGAATATTAGAGTTTCAAACTGAACTTACAACAGTTTTGGGAAAGCGAATGAGCGAGACGAAAAGTTGCACAATCATTTTACTGAAAAACTCACAGAAAGTGCACAAAACTGATAAAACCGAAAACTTCGAGCTCAGACTTTGATGGGAAACACTCAAATGCACATCTTTGGTTGGCAAGGTCTCAACTTCGCAAACGATCCCCAACAAGTTATTTGTCCAATCAAAGGTATTTTAGTTGCATGTGTTTTAATGTTTCGTTGATTTCAGTATTTAGTCATTTGTTTGTCCGATAAAAATTAAAAAAAAAAAAAATCTGAAATGTTTCAGATTTTAAATTACGTCCAAAGGGGCGTTTTTTAACATTTTGTGTGTTACCTTTCTTTATTAAATATCATGTTCTTCGCACTTAAACCATAAGATCCAGTGCAACAGCAATATCGCAAAATAGTTTTAAAACGAGCATATCTTTAGAATTTCCGATACAGAGACTCACGCGCTGGAGATATAAAATGTTTTTTCTGCACAACGTTGCCATTGCTCGCTTTGAAATCCTTGAGTTTGTTAATCAAAAATTCGTCAAAGTTTTACAAAATATGGAAATCGATAATAAAACAAATTCCAAATTTCAAATTTGGGCTTCCACATGCCCATATTCGTAGTAGGATTACGTTATTCAAAATTCGATGACTCTATGTACCGTTGTTTTATCACAATACGAGAAATATACATACATTTATGCAGATTTTTCATTATTTAATTTCTTCAAATATAATGCAGGACTCTAACATTTGTGGCAACAGTTTGAAAAGTGAACCGACATTTATGAGTCCGACGCAAAATGCCAAAACGAAAGCAATAGTCCTTCGGGACTCAAGTCCCTTTGGACTAATAAAAAGTTCTGTACACCTCATGATTTCCTTGTACGGAATATTAAATTATACCCATTTCTTCCTGTATTTCATTTAAATTTATTTCCTCGAATTTTATTACATATATATTTCTCATTTAATTAATTCAGTTCCCAATTCGCGACTAGGCAAAAATACATAATACCTCAAAATATCTTTATTAAAAGGTAAAAAATGTGGAAAAGTATAAAACGCCGAATACAGTTAAAGCAATTAAAAAAAAAAAAAAAACAATTTTTACAATGCAAATTAGAGCTTCTATGCAAAAACAAGTTATTCGGTCAGCGGGAAAAGAAGGCAGATTTCTCGGTGGACAAAACTCAGTTTGCTTTTGATCCCCCTCCGCAAAAAGATACTGAAGGAGCAGAAGCTGACTTAATTCACTATTCTGCTAAGTTTCATATGTAAACAAATATAACTGCTGTGGTAAAAAAATTAAGCTTAGCCGCACTTAAGCAATTTTTAAATTGTTGATAATTCAACAAGTACTGAATGCAGATTAACTAAAGGCATAAAAAACTTAACGCGGATATAAGAATAGCATAATTCAATTATTTTTAAAGCAAAAAATGCGCAATTTACCATCACATAAGAAAAAAAAGAATGAGCTTACAGAGCGAAGTAACTGAGTGGGTATATATATATATATATACCCACTCAAGTGTGTATATATATATATATACACTCACTCAGTTACACACCGAAAGTGTGTATATATGTTTATATATATATATATATATATTATATTAATTTAAATTTGCTTTTTATGAATAGAGAATGTTTTTTAAATTCAAATTTCATTCCTTGGAGCAACGGCGCAAGAGAATGAGAATTATTTAATTTAATTTAACTTTACTATATTCTTTTGAAAGAGAATTCAATTTCATTTAAAATTTAATTAAAATTTCATTTAAAATTTAAATTTGCTTTTTACGAATAGAGAATGTTTGTTAAATTCAAATTTATATATATATATATATATAAGATTGATGATGAATACCAGACTTTAGTCGTAGCTTAGAGTATCAGGACGATAAGTTTAAAAAACAGGATCCATTTATTATTTTTCAGGAGAAATAGCAGTCAGTTACAAAATCAGATAATCCCCGGAGTAAATAAAAAAGAATTACTAATAACTTTTTGTATGAAGGTTTACTGCATCGTGACATTTAAAGATAAAGCCCCCGATATTCCTTTGCGTGTCCTTTTATAGCCTCTGGAAAGGCGGAGCTTCGAAGAAATGACGTCAGCCAATCCAGTTCGCTTTAAATATTTCCAGAACATTCTATAACTGTACGTGTAGAAAAGGCGGGAAAAGGAACTTGACTACGGGGCTGTGGATTTAATTCCACGTACTTTCAAATAAGAGAACGTCGCCATTAAAAATTAAAAGAACATACAGTTAAAATTTTAAGTGTATTCTTGACTATGGTATTTTATTATTACATATATGTATGTATATTATACATAGACATGCTTTCGGTGAAGTCGATTGCAACCAATGAGGGAAGTTCACAACTATATGTTATAGCAGTTTTATATATGAAATTTCATCAATGTTCTGGGTCTACTCCATTAAAGAGTCCTTTATTCTGTCTATACTTACAGATGTCATGCAAAAACATCGTTAAATTACTTTCGATAGCGGTCAGAATGGATATTTTCGTTGAAATACGAAACCCGAATATTTTCACGATTTGAATACTTCCTTTACTTCGTACAAGAAAGTAAAAAATATTGTTCACTATGGTGAAAAATGTGATAGAAGAATCGTTCTTCCAATATAACGGTGATGATGAATTCAGTATGGATGAACATGAAAGTGATTCTAATGACAGAGACATTATTCGAACGGGGAAGGAAAAACGAAATGTATCGCAATACAATGATTCTAATGTAAGTATTGAACATGTGTTAGAAAAATCTAGATAGCTTTATAATTTACAACTGATACATAAAATTGTCATTTACAAAATGTTCACATTATGATAATAATAAAATGACAGTTAAAATGTCTTGCCTTTTGAATTTTATATGCAACTTTAACCTTCAAACTTTAGGGACATTATGGTTATTTTGAAGCAAAAGATATGAAAAATGAGCAGTGCCCCTCACGGGGACTCCAACCTCGGACCTACCGAGAGTGCTGACTATACACCACCAAATCCTGCTAAGAAGGCAGGAAAAATACCTTATATACTCCCCCTCTTAAAGGGCGAACTGGGGATTAGGGCACCGAGTCACCAAATCCTGGTGGTTGAGAATCATGATCCACCACTTTATTCAGTTCGGGCCCCACTGTAGAGAGATTAGCTTTTTTGTTTTCTTAAGCAGGAGTCATGGAAAATGAGCAATGCTCTCACCGGGTCTTGCAACAAGGACCTCTCAAATACGCGCCGAGTATGCTTCCAGTTACACCACGAAAGCATCCTAAAAAGGCGGGAGAAATACCTTATAAAACAAATCCCACATTACATAGCCATATAGAGCCAAAAAACGTCCTAGCAGTTAAAAGCTTTAGAAGAGAAACAGTCCAAATGCAAAGGTTTAAAAATAATATCTTACTTCTATTAATTTGTTTTACCTTGCTGTTACATTTGCTTAGGTAATCCTTCTCTGCCATTTTCTCCTATTCTTAGTTGCAAATTTGTTTAGTTTGGCCTTTATTTCTGAAATACTATTTCTAGCTATTTTAATACGCCGTCTTAACAAATAAATTTCATTGCACCTATTTTGCGAACAATATAACGAGCTTTCATTTGATATATTTAACAGGAGAAGTAATAAAAGTTTTTTACTATACCAATACCACCGTAATAAGTTTAAATTCTGTGCCCTTGTTGGTGGAAATAAATAGAGTCTTGTATAAATTATTACACAGCCTGATTACTACTGAGATGTAATATAACTTCTTTATCGAAAAAGAAAGGAAAGACAGAAAAAAAAAAAAAACGTTATTGGGAATAATAAGTTATGATGTTCTTTTGCGCTGTGGAACTTGACGTACTTTGATCTTTCTTGGCGAAACTTCCGAGTTCTTGTATTAGTCGTTAAATATGCAGCACCTTCCGTGATCTCGTCCCCGTTTTTATGTCTTTTCCCCAGCTAACACCAGTTCCAGTCGTAAATCCAGGATAATAAAGCAACTTGTTTTGCTTATGACGTGGAAAGACATAAAGGGAATGTTCTCCTATTTATATCTCTCCACTTATGAAAGGAAATATTTACGTACCATTGCGAAATCATTTATTCAAGCCCAATGTAAATGATTTGTAAGGCTCCCTCGATATTTGCTCATTTAATAAATAATTCCGTTTGAATTTACAAGGAATGAATAGTGTGATGAAAAAGTAACTGTTTTATGCTGCGAAATTTAACTTTAAGATTTATGTAAGGGATACAGATGCTTGTGTATACTTCTTGATGTCACATTTATAATGTAACATTAAAATTTATGTAAAATTATATTTATAATATCATATCTAACTGTACTCGGAAGATGGTGACTTCAAATTTGCATCAGATTCAAAATATAAGCTTAGGCGCGGTTCGTTGCCTAAAGCTAATCATGACTCTGCTTTTAAGTTTTAGAAAAAATTCAGAATGTCCCATTTCAGTTTCTCCCACTTCAGGTTTTTTGGAGGTGCCAATGAAAATCTGGCAACAGACTTGGTGAAAAATATCAAAAATTGTGCCATTTCAAATTTTCTGTTACTTCCCTTCTTCACTATAGCTGTTGGGTAGATGTTTTTAAAGGGACGCAGGTGTTCAGTTGGGTAGATGTTTTTAGATGGACGCGGGTGTTCAAAGTAAAAGGTTAGACGAAATGATAATACGTACGTTATCATGTGTTGTTATTTCACAATGAAAAATTGCATTTGTAATGTCATTTCAAACCGTAATTAGAAAATTATGATTTCAAATCTGTATTAGATTCAGAGTAAAAGCTTATGTGCAATTTCAATTTCGGGATGTTCCTTTTCAATTTTCCCCACTTCAGGTTTTCTGGAGGTGTAAAAAAAAATAGAGCTACATCAGGCTTAATGGAAGAATATCAAATATCATGTCATTTTAAACTTTCTGTTATTTCCATTCTTCACTATAGCTGTTAGGAAGATGTTTGCAGCGGGACGCAAGTATTCAAAGTAAATGTTTAGATGAAATGATCAACGTGTTGTTATTTCTCAATGTAAAATTTTATTTATAATATCATATCAAACTCTACTCTGAAAATGATAATTTCAAATTTGCATTAGATTTAAAGTAAAAGCTTACGTGTCATTTCAGTTTCGGAATGTCCAAAAAAATTCGGGGTGTCCCATTTCAGGTTTTCCCACTGAAGGTTTTTGTAGGTGCCAATAAAAGTCATGCCATTTCAAATTTTCCCTTTTTTCCCCTATTTCAATACAGCTGGTGGGAAGATGCTTGTAGAGTGGCGCAGGTTTTTCAGAGTGAATTGCAAAATGGTAATATGAGCGTTCCCACATGTTGTTATTTCACAATGTAAAATTACGCTTACAATGTAATTTATGCAAAATTACATTTATAATGTCATATCAAGCCGTACTCAGAAAATGTTGACTTCAAATTTGCATTAGATTCAAAGTAGAGCTTATGTGCCATTTCAGTTTCGGGATATCCAAAACAATTCGGGATATCCCATTTCAGTTTTTCCCGCTCAAGGTCTTTGGAGGTGCCAATAAACGTCGCGCCATTTCAAACTTTCTATTTTTCTCTTCTTCACTATAGCTGTTTGGAAGATGTTTGTAGAGGGCGCAAGTGTTTAATACGAGCGTTTTCACGTGTTGTTATTTCACATTGTAAAATTACATTTATAATTTTATATCAAATCCTACTCAGAAAATGATAGCTTCAAATATGCATTAGATTTAAAGTAAAAGCTTACATGCCATTTCAGTTCCGGGATGTCCCATTTCAATTTTTCCCACTTCTGGTTTTCCGGAGGGGCCAATAAAAGTCGTGCCACGTCACGCTGCTGGAAGAATATCAAAAATCGTGCTATTTCAAACTTTCTATTTTTCCCTTCCTCTCTATAGCTGTGGGGAAAATGTTTGCAGAAACGCGCAGGTGTTCAGAGTAAATGATTAGACGAAATGATAATGCGAATGTTACCACGCGTTGTTATTTCACAAAAGCATCTTTTATAATTACAGTATTAGTACTGTAAACTATTCATTTATTTTTATGAACTAGTTATTTTATGTTAATTATTTTTTCTTACTCTCTTTCTATTTCCCTCCCAGAATGCTAATTTCTACTTCTCGCATATTCAAATCAGGTAGGAACCCATAGTATTTAAAGGAAGGTTTTAATTTGTAGAATCCCAGCGTGTTCCGCCCGTTGAAGGCCACGTTTGCTACTTAATTATCTTGAAAACATTTTATCTGCAGTATTTTCTTATATTCGCAATTAGTTTATCACGACGACATTAGGTTTTTGAGCCAACTTGGGCGTTCTGTGACTGTGTAGCCTCTTGACTAACTTTCGATTGAGTATTATTTTAATTCTGTTTACGTTTTGCACCAGCTCTGCCGTTCTAATCTTTTATTGACTTAAATAAAAAGGTCTTTTACACCCTTCTGTTTTAATTTCGTCCCTTAAACTTTTACCCATAAACTTTTCACCCTTAAATTTTTAATTTCATCCTTAAACAAACTGTAAAATTTTTATAAACCAAAATTATAAAAATTATAAGATAAAAAGAACTTCCAGTTAGATCTTAATGTAGAGATACCAATTAAGCATTAAAGCGGTTAAGAAAGACTTGCTAGTTTAAGAATTAGTCGCCTGAAGTTAAAGGCATAGATTATAAAAATCTTGCATTTAAAAGCTGCTGTTCAAAATGGCAAACTGAATGACGGGGAAAAAATTGCTGTGACATTTCTTCAAAGAAGAAAACTAATTTATTTGTTATCCAAGATTAATTGTGCATTTATTCACTGAATCTCTTATATATCAGGCTAAAAAAAAAACAAAAATTTCCGGTAAATAAGAGTATTTTGTATTTCTCCAGAGCCCTAAATCTGCGAAATGTAAACAATAAACACCTCGAATAAGTTTCCTTTGAGGCAACAGAAAAGTATTTATTATCTAGAAAGGCAATGAAACCGCAACAAAAATTAAATGAAGAAAGCTCGTATATTTCACCTGAATTTTCATTTTCATCTCACATTAAACTAATATTTTATTTAATAATTTGTAAGGCTGTATATTTGCTGCATATTATACACATTTCAGGAATAAAATTAATGAATTATTTAATATGTATCGTAGTGTATTATCAACGAAAACATTGAGGAATACCTAAATAAATTAAAAGCAAGTTAAATTTCTCTTGGCTTAAAAATTAACAACGATTTATAAGTATTTGACTAGAATTGTTTTATCTCTACTGTTGCCACAGATACAAAGACATAAAGAACTTGAATAAAACATTGTGGTAGGTCTTTTTTTCCTCCTTGATTTCTATTTATAGCTGAGTTATATGTAGTTAAAAGGCAATCTGTATTTAAGATTCAGAAAAAGTTATTACTACATGTTTAGCAGAATCAATTTACCCATTCACCACCATTGCCTTCACAATTTCAGTATTCTTAGTAAGGCATAAATCTTGGCTTTATTGAGCCCACGAAGTCCTGATAAGATTGCTAGAATTGTTGCTTACAAAATTATTCATTTTCATACGAGACGCGTTTTCTTTGTCAAATGGCATACAATACATTCTAACGACTCTTTATTATATCACTGATAAGCAGCTGAGAGGAATAACTCAATGCATAATTTCAAAGGAAAATGTTTTTGCCTTCTGATAATTTGTGATGTCTAGCTATAGTGGCAATCAATTTCGACATTTATGTTGAGAAGAATTTCGTTGA